TGAGTGGATTGAGTTATCTGAGAAGAGAGTTCCTCTTATGATATATTTAGATCTTGTCTGAGTGTCGATCTGTGTAATATGTACCTTGGGGTTTGATTCGAACGTTGTGGTGTTCATTCTTGAGTGATTGAAGCACTATTTGTATGTGTTTGGCCTGAGGGCGTGATTAATAAAGCTAAGTGTTCAATTTTGCAGTTTATGCTTTGTGTTCGATTTTACTACTCTTATTTCAGTTCGTTTAGTTTCTGTTTTTGCACATATTTTTCTGTTGATTTGTTTGCTTATCATTGTGAACTCCTCCCAACACAGCTTGCTCGAAGTTTTTCGTTGCAGATTCATTTTCGTCTAAGCCCGTCTGGACGAAAAACCAGTCGAGCTCTTCATTTTTGCCTGACATCTTATGAATTTTCATCCTTCTATTGAAACAATTCTATTGCATTTATAATCTTTGTGATCGTAATGAACTCCATAATGCAATATCAACTTACCGGGTGTCCAAACTTGGTCAGTTCTAGTACTTTAGCTCTCGAATTACCTCGATAACCTAAACGAACAAAAAGATTTAAGGTAAATCAAGTTCTGCAAGAAACCCAAAACATAGGGAGATGAAACAAATCATACGACAAGTTTTTTGGTTCAAGGAACCTCATTCGTGAATACATGTTTATGCACAATGATCCTCAAGAAAATTTAATCAATGGTTTAGACATAATCTATACTCGTTAAAATACACATTTCTCCAATGTATTGTTTAATCAAAACGTTTAGTAATTATATGACTAATAAATTTTAGGAAATTACCTGTAATAATTACAAAACCAGTACTCGATACTCTTGCTAAATTCGGAAGAGTCTTGTTCATGCACTTGGGGGACAAATAATCGAAAGCATCCGGTTTAACAACAAGGGAAAATGATTTAGCCCGGTATGATAAGGGGGAGCTACGCACACTATGCCCTTACGAACTAGACTTTTGCAATTTTATCAGCGTCTTCTATATCAGACGGTTCAACACCCCATGCTTCGGTTTCTTCTTGTTTTAAGAACTTCGAGACCACTGAACAGGTATCGGGTCCAATGTGCAAAACATTGCGAATACTGTCACCATATGCTGCCTTTAAATATGGCACTGTCCTCTGAACTTCTGGTGTGCATGTGAAATCACCTATAAATGTTATAAAATTAGTGCACAGTTTGGCTCGAATTCTATCGTACCACAGATAAGTGTTATAAGTAATGAGTTCAAAGCTTTACACCTTCAATCCTAGCAAGTGATTCCCTGATCCTAGCTCCACCTACATCGAGAATGATGCGAATCAGTTGATACATAAGAATGAAACGCAAAGGTAGTAAGTAGACAGGATTGTGTAGTATCGTTCAATATTTCAGCTTCCTTTTCCTATTTAATATTGTCGAGTGCCAGCCAATCCTTGTTATAAACACGTACTTAGTAATTTTGAAACTATGAAATAAGGAGAAATGAAAGTATAATATGTTCCAAATGCTAGGAAGGGAGTCCTAAAATCAAATACATACATAAGCCACACAGAGCATACCCAACAAAGAGGATCAAGCCCTGAAAATTGTAGTAATACAGAAGCATTTCAGAATTTGAAACAGAAGTAAATAATCTAGTGTAACTTTAATCTGGAAGCTAATGTTGCAACTACCAGGAACATGAGGGTTTTGGATAATAATTGATGGGAACTCGATTTTGGATGAAAACTTCCCCCCAAACTTGCGGTACCAATACTGCACTGAGTCGAACTTATTAGCCTTCGCGACATGACTAAAACAATGAGGCACCCCAGAAAAATTCACATGGTGCAAAATAAACAAGTAGATAAAATTTTGCTTGCAGTTTAGTAATTTAGAACAATTTGATTCAGAACAATGAGTCAATGATCAGAAATAGCATAAACAAAAATCTTATTTATTTCTGAACAGATTCTTGAACACGAGTTATATTTATTAAACATGGATTTTATAACGTGGATAACAACACAATTTTTTTTCCGGAGAATAGCAATTGATCTTGAATGGCGACGTAAAATAGCAAGAGAAAAATATAATGACGTGCATCGGCAGTCATATCTTGTGCCTATCTTTTTATTTGAACAACGATAGTCTAGATGACAATTAAGCGAATATATCATGCTAAGTTGCGAAATACACAAACAAGTACATAAGTCGACCACGTAGAGTCAAAATGTGTTGAACTCTACCACTCGCGTGCCGCAACCTTGGATATATCCGGTTCTGGCTATAGCGGCGTGGCCTATATTTTTAAAAATCAATCCTACACAAATTTATGCAACCCAAGACACCAGTTTACACCGTACAATTGCCTAAGATATAGATTAGCACTAGACAACGTGTTTGGCAGAAATTTAATTTTCAGTACATTTACAATAAAACTGGAGAGTGATTCTCCCTATCCGAAAAAGATATACAAATCACCATATAAAACCATTCTCGTCTTATCGTGGTTTTCTGTATATAGTCAAACGCCAGTGGTACGAAAACCATTCTCATTTAGACATGCCAACGCGGGATTAAAGAAACAACCCTCTAGAATTTAAAAGCTACTGAAACATCTCAAAAGACTCTGAGAGTCCCATCTGTTATTACTCTCGTGGAAGCACAGCTTTGATCAGTTACTACTCTCCACAAACACGCTGCCTTTTTCTTTTCGTGGCACATAAAAAGGTTTTCATGAGCCTACGATTCTCCTCAGTGATTGAGGATTATGATTCTCGAGAGCAAGATGGCAGCCTTAACTGCAACTTCATATTTTCAGGTATATGGGCATATTATTGCTCGACTGCTATTCTATTATCTTCAGTGTGGGACGGTCTCCATTTCCGATTAAAGACGTCCCTTTCTACTACTTGCTGAGGCCATAACTTCTCATCGATCACCTCGAGCAATTCTTGCAAGCCTACTCCAGTTACCGCAGATGTTTTGACACAATGAATGGATTCTTGTTGAGATTGATAACCTTTAGCAGCAGTCCTCCAGTCCGAAGAGACCTCTTTTAGTTGACCATCTGTAGTCTTGCATCCCACAGAGCAACTTTCGTAGCCAACCCATAAGTTTTCTTCTTCGTCATTGGAGATCCAACCATCGGAATGATCACCTTGCTTATCATGAATGACCTCTTCAAAATCTCCCGACAGCTCAGCCTTTTCATCTTCATCGTGTACATCAACATCCTTCCCAGACAACTGGTCAAATGCAATGTCATTGTCTTCTCCTCCTGAGGAACCACTGACATAATCTTCACCATTAGTTTTACTTTCATCAAATTCATCTTCTTGAAGATCAACCTACGAAAAATTTTGGGACAAAGAATCAAATGCATCTTTATAGCCTCATCATTTCCAATATTTCCTATATCTTTTTCCAGGATATAATTTTCCTACTAAATTAGTGACATGTTTTTCTTATTTCTTTCTTTTAATTATTTTTTGTGCATTGGGAGAGGGATTTGAGTTCTTGTGTGTGTGTGTNAGAAAAAAACAGGGAAAAAAAAAAAAAAAAAAGAAAAGTTTGGGGGGGGGGGGGGGGGGGTGTACCTTATTCCAAACTTCAATCATATTCTGAAGCTTATCCTCAGACACTCCTATCTTCCCAAGAACTTGCAACACAGTTTCCCGATGTTCATCAAGATTTGGTGCACTGGAGTCCAGCACGTGCTGCAAAAGTTATATATACAGAATTTCATTCATTTTTGCAGGGAGTGACACAGAGGAAGGACAAACACAGTGTCATAGATGTACGATAACTAAATCTGGAACGAGGCCTCACGAGCTAGGATTTAGTCTTAAGTTCTTATTACGTTGTACTCCGTTTATAGACCGGATAATTTCTTTTCTATTCTGTTAGCTTGAGAGAAGGCCTAACCCCCTCCTAAGTTTGTACTACTTTATTTATGCTGTTAACAAAATATGCCACCATGTGTGGTTTTAATTACAAAAAAAAAGAAGGAAAAACGTTAAGATCATACCACAAGAAGGTCAGCTTCAACCACCTCTTCCAACGTTGCATGAAATGCTTCTATTAGCTGCCCAAAAAAAAAACCCTTGGTCATTTTGAGGCTAAAGTGTCAGTGTCAATAGTTAAGAAAGATCTGCCATATAACTTTGAGATACCTGAACAGGCAAATCTGATATAAATCCAACAGTATCACTGAGAAGCACTTTCCTCCTGAGCATCAATAATATAATCAAATGACCAGACGAGCAAATATAAATTACGGGTAGAAAAGGCCGAGAAAAAGTGTTCATATTCTTTTTCTTAACCAAGAACTAGCATTACCCTGATGGAAGAATAACACTGCTCAACTTCGGATCAACTGTTGCAAATAATCTGCCAAAGGAGAGTGCAAAAACAATTTACATGTAGAGAGTGATCAATATCGTATCAGATGCGTGTATGTGTAAAGAGATAACGCCAAAACTGAAGCATTATTAAGAATTGGTTTTGAAATGATTCGCTACCATACCGATCGTCACAGTAAAGATATCTGTTTGAGAGTGCGCTAACTAATGTAGACTTCCCCTGGTGAAAAATTAGAAAAACAAGAGAGAAAATAAGCCTATTTGAATAGGAGCAAATTTACAATGAAAAATAAAAGAGTAATGATATTCATCACCATTGGTGTTAAGCACCAGTATCGATGACAATTACATGATATTAAATGATATATTCATTTAAATGCAAAATTACATAACACATTTAATTGAATCTATAAAGTGTAGCCACCTACACTGGTGCTCAAGCACTAATGGTGTTAGATAGCATTATTCAAAATAAAATGAGTACAAGTCACCTACAGCATTTGTATAACCAACTACTGCAACAGTAGCAATTTCTTTTCCTTGTGAGTCTTTTTGTCTCTTGCGAGCAGCCCGTTGCAAAGCTCTTGTCCTTCTAACTTCTTTAATTTCAGACAACAACTGTTTTCGTCGTTCCAAGATTCTAAAAAATTTAAGTACCCAATAAGTGATATATTTATACATGTGCAAGTCCAAAGGTTCACAAATAGAGATTTTATCCACAAAAATGTACAATAACTGGTGGGCCTTTTATTCACACGGAATGACAAATTTCCCTGAAGACGCCTTAAGCAACGGTCACCCATCCCAAAATAACGCATTATATATTACGTATTTCAATCTTGAGGTCCATCTTAAAATGTCAACCTTATTAAAAAGAGTAGCTTAAATCTTTATACGTCGTGTGTTTATTTAATATTTATTCGATATGGAATTATCCCTTTACATGCCCCCGCGAGATCGTTTGAGCAGATCAATCTTAAAATTTGTCCGCTTGCTTAAGTTTTAGCCGGATCAAATTGATCGTTTGAGTTTAATGGACTCTCTTATTGTTTTAGAATTCCATTTTAAAATGTCAACCTTATTAAGAAAAATAGTTTAAGCCCTTGTATGTCGTATATTTATTCCATGTTTATTCAATGTGTTCATCCCTTAAGAATAAGATAGTACTAACAACCTAAAATAAAGGCCTATTGAAACTTTATTGATCCCATTGACAACCTTTAACTGAAAGAACACAGACACACATAAGGTAAAATTTCAGTCCTTACATGCCTACCATACGAAAACTGATACAAGATAATCGACCTGGCACATACATGAACAAGCTTCTTACTAGAATTCATCTTCATATAGAAAAGTCACACATTTACCTCCTATATTGAAAATGCTTATAAGTGAAAAACAGGGAATAATGAAATATAACCATATGATGCAGTCAATAATTTGCTTTAAGTTCCACTGATCAAGTCCATATCATAGGAAAAATAACCATCTAATAACAAAACATGCAAATAATCCCCAAAAATTTCAGAATAATAATTCATGCATGTTTATTAGCAATTGCGAACCTTCGTCGTTGAAGCTGAAGTTCAGTTTCTCCGGCACCACTGATAAAACCACGTCCTCCACTTCCTCTCCTGCAATCATTATTGCGTGCATGAGAAACCCCTAAATTGAGCAATCCTAGTTCCTTCTTAAACCTCTTTTTTTGCTCTATTCATAAATCTTCCTAAACCTATACATTACTTGAGAAGAGAATTTGGCATGCAAACCAGAAATAATTCCTTAAAATAACGTATTTTCCCAGAAGCAGTTGAGAACTTCACCAATGGGAACATCATGCAAATACTCACCCTCTGGCACTAACAACTTCTGCTTCCCCAATCCCACCAAAGGTATAACGCCCATCAGATCCACGCACACGAACAAGCCTGCTCCTCTTGTACATTAGAGCTGCTAACTCAGCCTGTATGTTGATAAAGGATATAAAATATTTTTAGCCCTTTAAAACCATAAATTTGCCAAACTAAAAGCAATGCAATGAAATTGCAGATAACCTGTAGTTTTGCTTCCTTTGTCTGAGCATGAGCATTAAATATCTCTATTATGAGACCAACGCGGTCCAAAACAGGTTTGCCCCAGGCCCTCTGTGAAAGAATGTATATAAGGAATAAATACAACCATTAACATCCAGGAAAGTCCATAACAAAGAAGGTAAAAGGACATGAATTATTCACGAAAAGCAACCAATACAGTAAACTTGCCTCCAAATTTCGCTGCTGAATACCAGTGAGAATAGCATTTACAAATATAGCATCCACTCCATCCTGTAAATAGAGTAAAAAATCAGAGCAGAAATCATCCAGATCGTTTGCTACCACTTTCCCCCGAAATTTAACAAGAGAATTGATTTCCAAGTTCAGGCACGAATCCTCTACCTTGGATTCTAAAGCATTTAAATGGCATTTGACATTGTTCACCGTCCCAGCTCCAAAAAGTGTATCTGCGATATAAACACCTTTTATTATATCCAACAACATTTCGTCGAAAAGAGATAAGCCATGTAGGCATATATGACTTCCATCATGATGATCCCTATGAATGCCATTGGATTGTCTTTTAGGCTTCGAGACACGATCCAAATTAGTCTATTTTGAATTCCATGGGCTAAAGAGGAAGATTTCATAGCTCTTATTGAGAGAGTCCTCACTTCGCACTTGTAGTCTTATTATTAATAACTCAACAAGAATAACCGCAACAGTTGAGCATAACATCATCGTGTCTATCTATTCCAGTTATATGATTTTAGTTTCGTGTAGTTTATCTATCTTTTTCATTGGGTTTCCTCTTCACTATTATTCTTATTCCAATTTT